GCGACACACAACTTTAGATCATCTGCAACGTTCGCAGTTGCAGCTGCGGTTTGCACGCGTTAAGTGTTGCTCGTAGATCGTCACGGTGTACACAGTCGATAAAGTGAGTCTTCCGAGAAATCGTGCTGGAGTTCTTTGAGAGAACTCGGCACGCAATTTTAGGGATACGGAAATGTTATTCCTCTCTGAGACGCCTACGGTCCATGGGAACCATCATCGAACCCCTAAATTTAGCCCGCGAGCGGTTCCTCGAAATATTTCACGGTGGTCTTTAGCTTGACTGACGTGGGAGATTAACGTCTGACGATTGAAAAGGTAACAAGTTTGCATGGGATCGTTTTGGTGATCTTGATTTCACTCGATCTGAGTTGATAATTGATTCACTTGACTCGTCATTCCTTTATCGTGTTTTTATGTAACTTTAATGTTATTGATTTTGGACATTATCGCGTTACTGATTAACTGGAATCAGTCACTTTATGTACGATTATCTATTGTGACGTTTGAAATGATTCTTCAAATCTTTTCCTTGAAATCTTAGATTTGACTTCAAACGCTTACTTAAATTTTAAGATCAGAGATTAATACTTCTGCTGATTTTGAAACATGTATCATCGCTTCAAACTCATATTATAGCACTTCTGTCGTGAAGTGATACAAATTCAAAGTGACAGAATGACAAATAACTCTGTTATTTTTAATAACTTCATTTTTAATAACTCTGTTGCTAGAATTTTATTGCATAAACAACATGATAATTTGTGTCATTAATTGGTACATAAGATGATCAAATTCAAAGTGACAGAACGACAAATAACTCTGTTGATATTTTTAATAACTTCATTTTTAACTCTGTTGCCAGAATTTTATTGCATAGATGAAGTCATTCAAAGATCAATTCTTTAATAAAATATAAGAAATTCCATACACAAATGAAATATTTGAAAGACATTGGACTCGATGTCTGACTACGTACAGCTGTTTTCACTTCAGTAGCGTTGAGGACACCCATCAAAAATATCCGCCTTTATCAAAGAAACAAAAGTTGTTTTTGTACTAGTGAAAATACACTTGACAATCGTTTTATCTCAACTGCGATTCGTTTTTATTCCAAGAGTAAAGACACTCCGATAAAGCTGTATTCCTATTGTAACAGTCGCTTATCGCGGTTCGCAAATATTCGCGGGAGATGTATTGCGCAGTTGCGTTTTTGAACGTTTCAACGCACGGCACCATTTATGTCAGACGTCCAAACAATTCTTGGCATTCTTGTCCCGTATTTTTACTTTCTGTGTGATCCTCATATGTCACGATTTTCGATCTCTAAAAAATTTAGGAAACTGTATTCAAATTTTTAAATTAATATTAAATTTAACGATGTAATATTTTATGAGTTAGAAGAATATTTAAAATGTCTAGGTTAATATGAGACATTACTGGACATTACTGATTGTTTAACAAATTCAGACTGGTATCTGAAAGTTGCAAAAAGAAGGAAATATTTAACTAATTTGTAAAAAGTCTTTCATATTTAATAGTGCAAAAATGATTAAAACTTGCAATACATAACTATCGTTTAAATAAAAGATATTTTTCGACCGACCCTAACCTAAAAATATTAGTACCAACCTCAACCTAAAAATTGTTTCCGATCTAACCTAAAAACTGTTCAAAATGAAACAATTAAAATCATAACAGAATTATTTAAAAATCAAATAAATACTAAAAATAATAATATTTATTAAAAATTATTTAAAAATGAGTGAACCAACAAGAGTGTTGTCAGAGACAAAATAACGGGAGTGTAAAATAAATAATTGAATCCGCAACGTAATGCAAGCTTGCACAACTTATGTACGGGAGTGTAGACGAGTTCTCGAAGAGCTGGTTGCTGGCGGGCCAGCAATAATCCTCTGATCTCGATCGACAAGCAACAGCAACAGGCTGCTCGTTCGCGGTACTCGAGTGTTTCGCATTTGCGCGGGTGTTAAATGCGTTCCATCTGCCATCGATCCAAGGTGGATCGGCCATCATTGAGGAACAGGCTTGCTCTCGCGAGTATAATATATCGGCGAGAGCCGATCGAATAAAAATGATTTATACCTGCCGTGATTCCTCGTGATACCACCGTCGCAGATTGAATTCAGATGAGATCCCTTCTCCGTGGGGTTTCTACACGGTGTCGTTCTTAGAGTGCTTCGAGTGTTGGTAAAAGAAACGTCGGCAAGGAAAGATCGTTTTTACAAGCTTTTTCGAATCGGGCGATGGATTGATCTGCTTGGCAATCTAATCTGGGAAAGTGATGAGCTGTAGATCGATTTTCGTTGAAATTTCTGTGAGACGTCACTCGTAGAAATTGTAATGAGGAGAGGATTTTGAAATTTCATTTTAATTATTCAATGTGTAATTTGGAAATGGTGCGAATTTGTTATTAAGATTGAATTTTTCATCGGAGACTTGGATTTTTAGATTTGTACTTTCTTGTATTTCTAGATTCTTAGATTTCTATGTTCAGCACTTGGTCAACAGGTTACTGGATCTGTTGATTCCCAGATCAACAAATTCCTGCATTCCCAGAATCCCACATATCCAAATTTCTGGATCCCCAAATCTCTGCAATCCTGATCTCTGTGCATACAGATTTTCAGCTCTCCAGATTTCCACGTTTCCAGCTTCCTATGTTCTTAGATCCCTAAATACACAGATCTTCAGCTCCCTACATCTCTAAATACCCTGATCTTCAGCTCCTTATACTCTAAGTACCCACATCTTCAGCTCCATATACCCTAAATACCCACATCAGCTCCCTGTACCCTAAACACCTGCATCTTCAGCTCCCTACACTCTAAATACTCAGCTCTTCAAATCTCCAAATAAATATTCAATATAAATCCTATATATCCAAATCTTTATTTGTCCAGGTGAAAATCACCTGTACTACACTCCTATATCTCCATACTTCATATTTTCCCACATCTTCAAATCCCAGTGCCCATATCTGCAGTGAAAATAAACAATAACCTTGAATCGTTAAAGAATCCCGATCTGAATATCTGATTATTATCATTCATTTAACACAAAACCCACGCCGCATCATCTCCTTCAACTACCAAAAACGATGATACGCTAATATATGTAATGGTTCCGAGTTTATTTTTATCACGGTCAGACTCGATACCAAAAACGTCCACGACTGCACGATTTTTCAACGAGGAAAACGATGTTCACGTGTCGTGAAGTATAAAGAATTGGTCCAGAATCCTACACGATACTTTGATAAACATAAAGCGCCTCTCACACTGTAGAAAAATGATCGACGAGACTACCTACTCGAGCCTAATGGCATGTCTATAAGTACCAGCGTGTTTTAGAGCTCCTTTGTGAATGCACTTTTCCTGCCAGACTATTTTCCCTCCATTTCTGTCTCTCCTTTATTCTTATCCTTTATTATTGTCGAGCGTGAGAAACGGAGTGCAGAACGATTGTGGACCACAGCTGTACGTTGTTTGAAATAATCTGATAATCGAAATTTCATATTGAACTGGAATTATTTATTAACAGGAATTATCATTAAATTGTGAAATAAAATCTTGTTTAAAAATTTCTTTAAATTAAGTGTTATTGGATTTTTACCAAAATTTGATTTTCTTTCAAAATCATTATAGGAGTCATAAATTTTTTATGCAAACAATTTGAGAACACAAATTTGAGCAAATCAAGCAACGAAGAGGCTGAAGATTCTAAATGCAATTCAAGTCCGTAAACTGTATAAAAAATGATACACTATTTCACTGTACACTGCAGAATTATTCAATGTCGTTAATAATCTGTTTATATAAATTTTATTTCACGATACAGAATATCAAACAATTTAAGAAGTGTCCTTGGAAACTTTTGAGGTTATGTCAAATAGTAGCGAACTCCGTTGAAAGCGGTTCCAAATGGAAAACAATATATCTTGCCGCCATTTTGATGGCATCCGATTCCCGTAATCTCGCGTGTCTCCTCGCTTTCATCTTTCATTCATCGAGGATCGTAGAAATACTGTTCCCTATCGATTTACCCGGTGATACTCGGTTAGATATCATCCGGAGATGACGATCCTACGACGCCTCTCTATCCTCTTCGGATCTAAGTTGGAATTTCGATCACGAACTCCCGGAAGATGTATTTTTGCCAAGCTCGAACAGGGAAGGACGTTCTCGGAAACCGCAAAGATGGCTGTCGCGTTACGTGACAAGGATTTCTGGAAATCCAAGGGAAAGCCACGATTGCCTCGTTCCGCTTCCATTGGTCGAGCGTGAACTTCGACTTTCCTCGATATCTCGACAACCTACCGCAACGATATTACGTCAGTCGTGAACGGAGAGCACGCGAATTATTCTAGCGTGACACGACGACGTGGATTAGCGTTAAATTGCCGCGACGTTCTGGAAGAAGAACGGACGGTTCTTCAACCTCTCGCAATTAGTCCCCGCTGTTTCATCGGACAAACGATTTACTGTCGATTGTTCTCTCTTAACGAGACGATCTTTTGTTCTCGGGTGTCGATTGCGCGAACAACTTGATTACTGTAAACCTGAGTGTCGTTACAATTATTATTTTAGAAAATTGGCCGGGGTACACTCTCTCATTTTCTATCTCGATATTTCCAAGCTAATGACAAGTTAACACTTAACAGTTAAAATCGAGAGATTCTGCTTCTTATTTCACATCATAAAATTTGTTAAGATCTTTAGAAACATCAATTTTTAAGAAATGTCAATTTTCATGAAGTTAAAGAATTATCTTCATTTTCTAATAAGAATGTTTAGCGTTAATTTTCAGCCTTATCAGAAACGTGATATTTAATGTAATTAACCTTTTATTAAATATATGATATACAAGTTATACCACACCGTAAGTGGTGAAGATCCGATTTATATAAATACCATCTATAAATAAAATGTATAAGTATCCATGTTGAGGAAACTTAATCCGACGATGAAATTTTTTTTCAGAAGGACGGGAAACGCCATTATCACCACCGCCACCTTCAAGTTCCTCCGTTCAAACGTCACCTCGTGGATTGGGTTACACTTGCGGTCCCATAGATGGATCTTTGTACGCTGTGGTACACCAGGGTGCTGCCGGTGGTGCCCGTGGCTCACCATTGACAGTTTCCATGGACAGCGGCATCAGCAGTGCTCCACCACAAAGACCTAGTCCACCCGAGCCAGAACCGGATAACCAGGCTCATGGTGATCTTGATAAGCTACTTCATGATATGATGCTTACTGTCGAGGTACGTTATTTCATCTCGTGTACCATATTTAACGTCGGGACTCATTATCAGATTTAACGAACGTTTTCATTTTGTTCTTTGTTAATCGAGAAAAAGGGTCACAGTTCTTTCTAATAAATGAAAAGTTGTCATACATTAAAATCTGCAGAGTAGGTTACTTGATCGTAACAATGATTTATTTATATTTTGCTCGTGGTAATTCTTAAATGAATAAATGAAAAGTTGTGATACATCAAAACCTGCAGAGTAGGTTGTTTGATGGTAACAATGATTTATTTATAATTTGCTCGTGGTAATTCTTAAATGAATAAATGAAAAGTTGTGATACATAAAAATCTACAGAGTAGGTTACTTGATCGTAACAATGATTTATTTATATTTTGCTGATGGTAATTAAATGAATAAATGAAAAGTTGTGATACATTAAAATCTGCAGAGTAGGTTATTTGATCGTAACAATTATTTATATTTTGCTGATCATTTATTCTTAAACATGTACATAAAATTATTATATACGTGTTAATGTCCATGCACTCATAGTATCATAATATACAGGGTGTCTCACCGGAAAGGGGTAGCTGAGATTGTATGTATAACTACATCCAAGTGTAAAAGTGAAATTTCAAACATCCCTTAAAAAACAATTTGAAAAAACAAAAAGGTAATAGAAGAATGTTTGCGCAGTCGATGCCAGATCCTCCATCCGAGGACTACAGAAGAGAGAGGAGCGAGAAGATGTACATTCAAGAGAGCCGGGCTTACAGTAGTCAGACGAGCAGCCATTCACCGTCGACATACTCGACGCTGAAAGATTCTTACAGAAGTTACGGTGCAGGAAAAGAATCGAGTCCACCGTACAACTCGAGCAGCAGTTACAGCACCCTGAAGAACGAGTATCGAGAACCCAACAAGATCGAGCACCGAAGAGAGGAGTTCGATTATCGAGTGTCACCGGACCGAAAGATCTCCGAGTCGTCCACGGATTCGTACAGAAAGCACACGGACTCGTTCTCGCCACCTGGCAATATCGATTATATCGACGAAGACATTCCCTATCACGCCAGACAAACGAGTCAACCGTTTTCGTACGGTGCTACTTCGGACATGATCAAACACCAGAAGCTTTCGTCGCCTTCCTTGGTTAGGAAAGCTTCTGTGCGAGGGAACGCACCTATGGTGGACTTTGAGGATATACTCGGAGAGAATTCCAGGAGACCCATCAGCCCTTTGAGTCCGAACACGCCGGATCCTCCGCCGGAATTCGCTAATGGACCCACCAAGGGCAACGCTGATCACGTCGATGGGTGAGTTGGACACTTGTTATATTTAATTCGATAGATAATATGGAATACTTGATATTAAGTACCTGTATTGGGTAATCAATGTATAGTAGTATAGTTGAGATGCATTTGGAGATGCATACTTGGATGTATATTTGAAGATTTGAGATTGAATAAGCTGGGGAAGTTGAAACCAGTTTCTGAATCCACTGGTTTCAGAAGGAAGGTGGGAATTGGGGAAGCAGGGAATTGGGGAATGTGGGAATTCGACACTGTGGGAATTGGGGAATGTGGAATTGGAGAATGTGGAAATTGGGAAAGGTGGGAATTGGGGAATGTGGGAATTGGGATATGTGAGAATTGGGAATGTGGGAATTGGGGAATGTGGAAATTGGGAAAGGTGGGAATTGGGGAATGTGGGAATTGGAATATGTGAGAATTGGGGAATGTGTTAATTGGGAAAGGTGGGAATTGGGGAATGTAGGAATTGGGATATGTGAGAATTGGGGAATGTGGAAATTGTGCAAGGTGAGAATTGGGAAAGGTGGGAATTGGGGAATATGAGAATTGGGGAATGTGGGAATTGGGGAATGTGGAATTGGGGAATGTGGAATTGGGGAATGTGGAATTAGGGAATGTGGGAATTGGGATATGTGGGAATTGGGAATGTGGGATTTGGATATGTGGATATTATTCATATATCCACGTATCTAATTCTGACTTGCTGAATTTCCTAATTACCAAAGTTCTTATTTCTAAGTTCCTAGGTCTACGTACTCTTGGACCTCCAAATCTATAAATTATCATACCCCAAAATTTTTAGATCTCAACCACCCCAAACACCTGTATGTTTCAAACCTTAAATTCCCCTTCCAAATTCCTAAATCTCCAAATCCTCAGATGTCCAATATCCCAGTACCATCAAAGCCCTGTACAAAAGAATGTCAACTTTTGCATAGAATTTGTTATTACATCCTGTATAAATTTCCAGACCGATTCCCTTTTCCTGGCAAGTTTCCCAACTCCGCGAACCTCATTCCCTCTAACAAATCCCATAATTAAATGCTCAGACCATCTAATAATACTCGGACGAAAAGTGTTTCGTCACGCTCGATATATATTGCGAGAGCAGAAGATTAGGCGGTTTCCACGGAACCTGACGTGGAAATCGTGACGGCAAGTGGGCCATTCATCTGGCAGAGCTTCCAGACGATGGTCGACAACGTTGTTTCGCAACGAGTCTCGACGAAACGGGCGCCGCAAAAGAGTCCCTGCGAAAAGGACAGATTCGTGCAAACGACGAGGAACGAACGATCGATGCCCGTCGGGGGACAATTAATAAATTGTCTACCCATACGCGGACGAGATTACAAGGCTGCTCCCCGTATTTCTGCCAGGAATGGCGAACGCGGTCATCGTGAGTCATTGTCAGACTAGTGGAAAGAGAAAAGTCATCGTTATACACCGGTGCAGACGGACACGCTTGCTATATCGTTATGAAATACGAGTTTCGTGGTTTGCGGGTGTACATCGAGAACTGTCGTGTTGTCGACGCGATAATTTGTTATTCTCGTACGCCTCGGGACATGGAAATTTATACATTGTTCGATCTTCGGAGGGGATGATTGCTCCTTCTTCTTGTTTCAGATGATTTATGATCTCTCGTTAGGTCTCTGCTGTACGCATATTTCATATGTGGGAATTGGGGAATGTGGGAATTGGAGAATGTGGGAATTGGGAATGTGGGAATTGGGGAATGTGGGAATTGGGGAATGTGAGAATTCGACACTGTGGAAATTGGAGAATGTGGGAATTGCAAAATGAAGGAATTGGGGAAGGTGGAAATTGGGAAATGTGGGATTTAGCATATGTGAGAATTGGGGAAGGTGGGAATTGGGAAAGGTAGGAATTGGAGAATGTGGGATTTAGCATATGTGAGAATTGTGGAATGTGGGAATTGGGGAATGTGGGAATTGGGGAATGTGAGAATTGGGAATGTGGGAATTGGGGAATGTGGGAATTGGGATATGTGAGAATTGGGAATGTGGGAATTGGGGAATGTGGGAATTGGGATATGTGAGAATTGGATTTTGGGGAATGTGGGAATTGGGGAATGTGGGAATTGGGGAATGTGGGAATTGGAGAATGTGGGAATTGGAGAATGTGAGAATTCGACACTTTGGAAATTGGAGAATGTGGGAATTGCAGAATAAAGGAATTGGGGAAGGTGGGAATTGGGAAATGTGGGAATTGGGGAATGTGGGAATTGGTGAATGTAGGAATTGGGAAATGTAGAAATTGGGAAATGTAGGAATTGGGGAAGATGGGAATTGGGAATGTGGAAATTGGGATATGTGAAAATTGGAAAATGTATACCATTTGTAATCTACAATGATAAATTACGAAACTTCTCTCTTTTTAATTATAACTAATTCGAATTAATTATTCAACGACTTAATTTTGTCATCAAAGTCCATTCGATCGTAATTCGGTCATTCAACCTCCAAGATTTTCGCGGTCGAAATTTCATCCGAATGCAAGAGAAAGCCGAGGTATCCAGGTTTAACGAGTTCGTAAAACGGAGTTCGTCGAACCAGTCGGACGTGAAATATGTCCCGTTTTGTGTATCGAGTCATTCGAGCCACGAAAGCCGTGAAAATAAACGTCCCTTCTGAGCCGAGTTCAGCCTGCGAAACCGCAAGTTTCGCCTGGATATTTATGAAGAACCGTGGTCCGCTACGATGGAGAAACAGGCGACGTTTATGGTCGAAGAGGTCGACAGACGTTTGGCAGGTCTGCTTTCTCAGACGTGCAAAGAAATTCTCCTTTCGGGGCTTCACCGTTCGTTTCTCGTCTCGATCTTGGTTTTCAACCTCTGCTTCTGTAGCCTCCTTCCATCAGGGCTCTTTCAAACAATCGTTCAAAACGTTACCTTCTTACTACTGTTGTGAACTCGGTAAATTTGAAGAGCTTTACTTTGGTCACAATAGCTGTGACACACTTTATGAATTAATACTAGCACTGGGAATTAAAACTAGCACAATTGTTAGAGATATTAGTCCATTATTTAATGTGATGCTTACTATATTCATAAGTGACAGAATAGATAATATGTGCTTAGTACTAGGTGACATGTTTTTCGATGCACCATACAGGGTGGTTTACCTTAAACATAAATATCTTCTAATAAAATAAATGTATGTTCATATGAACTTTTATGTCAATCTTCCAAAATTTATGAAATTTTACGAAGTCAACAAAAAGTCATAAAAAGTTTGAAAAGTAATTGCATTTCTATTGCATGATCTACTTCTGATCCAATTTGTCTTTCAATAGGTTTGTGCAAACATCTCTACCGTATTGATTTCAGAACTTTCCGCAGTCAAGGTAATCGAATTTTTAATAGGATTCAAAGAAATTTCTCCACAGTAAGAAAGAAAGACAGAGAGAAGTTATTTCTGTTCCCTCAGTCGCCCTCTGACATAATTATAAATATAGAACAGTCGAGACGCGCTAAATCGACCGCCACGAGTTTCACCATTCGCGTTTCGATGCTCGTCCTCTTTGTTTTTCGCCGTTCTTGCAAGTGTATCCCTTTCCGCCGGCAATTTTTCTATTCTTGCGACATCCCCGTGGGTTCGCAGCAAAAGTCACTCGGATACGGAAGTCGTTCGAGGCTGAAATAAGAGCACAAAAGTAGCTCGCAAAGCCTCGTACAATTTTCCTCGACGAGCTTGTATTTCCGCCGTCCATTCCTGGACCATCCTGCATGAATGACTTGTCCCCTTCTAGCCATTCTATTATTCCGGGAAAGATTCTCTCCGGTCCTTTTTTTTGGACGTTCAAAAATTCATGAGTGGAAAATGTGGGCCCTCTTCGTGAAAACCCGATTATTACGCTCTCGAGTTCCATCAAGGAAAATTCTATTTGAGACTATTCTGCTCTATTCAGAAATACAAAGGATACTTCTCTCAGTTTCTGTATTCTTTGGGATCGTTTTCTGTAAGCGATTTCATAGCATTTTTGATATGTTCAATTTATTTTTTATTGCTTCAGTTCAGGATTTTGTGTAGAGTCAGATAGGTTAGTTACAAATATACTGTGCATATATGTTACATATATAGCAGTAGATAGTTATAGACATAGTTTAGGAGAAATTCATGGTACATGCCCATAGATATGGTTTGAGAAAAATTCAGTGTTATATGATCACATGAAAATATTGTTAAATGATAGCAGTGCTATACTCTTCAAAATTAAAATTGACTAAAAATGACCACATGATCATTTGACTGAAGCAACCATTTTGTGATGATGACATTGATGAAATATTTATTCACTCATTTTCTGTGAACCTTGAGCTTTAAATTCATATAACATATGTGCCACTTTGCGACACTTTTCTGTCATGATTTCTTGTCAGACTCTCTACCCTTCATAATTGGTTGATGTTTGATATGATTGACCGTCAGCCATTTTGTAATAAGAATACTAACAGGGCACATATATGATAATTTTCCTTAGGCTTCAAGCTTTAAATTGATGTAGCATAAGTGCTATTTGGTAATACTTTTCTGTCATGATTTCTTGTCAGACTTTTCACCCTTCAAAATTGGTTGATGTTCGATATGATTGACCGTCAGCCATTTTGTAATAAGAATACTAAGGGTGCACATATATGATAATTTTCCTTAGGCTTCAAGCTTTAAATTGATGTAACATAAGCGGTATTTGCTGATACTTTTCTCTCATGAAATATCGTCAGAAGTTTCGAAACCGACTGTACAAAATGTAACCCAGTGGTCGTTGTTTTTTCGGTCATTTTTCCACATAACCATCGGTGTTTCGGTATAATGCAGAAGGAGATTTTACGATGTTCGCAAGGGTGTGGCCCCGTTAAGCCAAAGTATAAATTTCGCTAGTCGTAAAGAAAAGCGAACGAGCAAACGGCGAGAGAGTCGGTCGGTTTGCGTATAATCCATTTATTACGAGCCGCAACGCGAGATCGAAACACAGGTCTGAAATCGATGGCCCGAAGCGATCTCATCGATCAGGATGTAATTATCCAGGATCTATCGTGGTAGGAGGTCCTGATTCCGGCCCTCTTCCGACTTGCAACCGTGACGGGGACCACGGTTCGTTCTCGTGGCCATTTCTAACGAGGCTTTGTTACTCGACTCGCGCGTCTCGTGTTCCATCGAGAAAGTGGCTTCTCGTGTTTTCATCTGCTCGCGAGTAACTCGAGCTGACCGTAGGCGAGAAAAGCGAGAAATCACGATTTACAGGATGAAAACAGCTGCTTCGGGTACGGAGATCCTAATCTGTGACAGCTGACAGAGTGTCCTGCGCATCCTTCCGTTTCTTCCTTCCTTATGCGGGAAAAATTTGCTCTACTATCTCGAAACTTGGAGACTGGATGGATGAAGATTAATCTCCTGGTGAAAATGCTCTTCATAGATTTTTGATGCAATTTATGGCAAGCTGTAGCAAATTAACACTGAAATCATCAGACAAAATGGCTTCACATTTTGTATTAGCAAATTTTGTATTTTTATTTAAATACCTCTGATATTTTGTTCAAATAAAAAATAGTTGTATGTGTTAATTGATGCTGCATTTACTTATTTTTAATTTAGAAAAGTGCATTCTAAGAATAGAAAATAATAAATAGGAAAGAACGTAGGACTATGACAAAGCGTTTAAAGTAGAATAAAGTTGTCAGAAGAATAAATCTTCCCCGACAAATTATCTACGTTTAACTACGTTTCGCGGAGAGTTTGATCATTCCAAAGTTCCCGGAATTTCGTTGTTTTCGTTGAATAAAAGATAGTTACGAGTCGAACGATTGAGAAAGTTCCGGCACAAAGTGGCGAAGTTTCACTTTCCTCTTCCTGTTGTTGGCAGATTATCATGGCTGAGACAGCAGCAATTGAAGCTCGCCGCGAGGAGAGATGAAAGAAACCCGGGAAAACTTTGGCGACAGGAGACCGGAAATCGAGTCATCGGAGAATTGAGAAGCTTGCAGAGAAACAGATTGAGGCACGACGGGTATGCAAGCGACTCGGCGGTCCTCGACGACGATGACGACACTTGGGCTGCCAACTCCTCTTCTGGACAGGTTGGAAATTAAATTCAAATCTCTTTTTCTTTACGTGACAAATTCTTGCAATTTATCTTTAAATTTCTGTGTCATCAAATTCTTAAGTATCCTAATGTTGAAATTGTCCTAATGTACAATTCTTAGGTCCCTTAGATATCCTAATGATCACAAATACATCTTCAAATATGTACATCTTCAAGTCTCTAATTTCCTAACCTCTTTAATTGCTAATTTATCCTCTTGCAAAATTCATGAAGTACCCAGACTTGTCCACAAAAATTCAAACAACATTGAAAAATTGAAAAAACCCTTGACACCCTGCTGATCACATCTCTCAGCCTATCTCAGTATCGCTAAAAGTGCAATAATTCTTCACAGACGCAATCAAGACCGGCTCCTTACACATCCGCGCCCGCAAGTCCTCTTCTTCCGCAACGCTCGAGCAGCCGGAAGTACAACGGGACAGCTGGTGCCGGTACTCTAGGAAGACCTCGAGCGGAGAGCGTGAACGAGCGTCCGTTCATGTCCGTGAAACGAGCGTACGAATATCGCAAATACAGCGACAGCCAGGTAAACTAGGAAGTTACCGGTTTTACGCGAGAACGGTTTGCTGTTAAAGAGTTGCCTGGAATCGATCGTATTCGCGAGGCTTTCGAGATGTTTATGGTCGAGACGCAACGGTGCCGGCCGATTACGAGATGAATATTTATTAAGTCGTTGCGGAGAAAGGGAGCCTGTTATTTTAAGCGTCAGACTGCTTAAAATAATTGTCGGTAATAACGATAATAAATTCGAAACGATCGATTCTACGTTTGCGCTGATGAAACGGCGGAAGCACGAACGCTACAATTTAGTTAGCCATAGACTGTTAGAGCTGCGGTGCCCGTGTTTTATGGTTATGCCCCTACGGTTAGAGCCTGAACTGCAAGAAACGGCCCCCCATAGATTGTAGCAAAAAGACGAAACCCTGCAGCCACGAGAACTGCTTCAGCCTATTAGCTGATTTCAAACCAGATCTAATTTCATTGAAACAAAAAATGTACAGTCTTTGTTACTTTTTCACAAACTGACTGATTAGACACTTTTGTTACTCTTTCCAATAATTTTTGCCTAAATAATTTTTCTGTATAGTCGACAGTTTTAGTATGACTTTAAAACGAAATAGCACTGCTGATTAATACGATTAATAGACTAACGATGAATTATAATGAAGCAAATAATTTCAATTCGAGAACCGTGGTGGCACGGGAATAACCCTCACAACACCGTGCAGGGTACAGTTATCCATCTTTCTACCCTTGCACCATAAATTGCTTCAAATATTTTTGAATAAATTTCGATATATTTAGTCCGAGGTGATTTGTGTCCCGCACGGTGTTCGACACAGTTAGGGTCATACGAGGGATATAGTAGCTCCCTCTAGCATGAAGCGCTTGGCTTGCTTTTCAGAGCCCTCCGACATCCCCCCGCTCAGGCTTAGCAAGCACACAACCCTTAGGATTAGCAATGCAGCAACAAGCAACGTTCGTTAGCACGGACAAGCCTCAACCGCCAAGGCCCGAGTCTCGCAGCGATAGTTTCGTTCGGGCTGACGCTCTGTTGCGCGAGCACCGTCAGCAACAGCTCGCGAGCAGCAATCACACGGAGCAGAAACAGGATTACGCGCGAAACGCGCGACCAGAATCGCGAAATCGCGTGGTCGCTTATCAGAGTTACGAACGCACCACGATGGCCAGCAACGATAGGAGCATCGATCACGTGGACGCAGGATTGCTGGCGGTCGTTGATCAGCAATCGAGCGGTCAAAACAACGCTGACCCTCTCGTGAGCCTAATTCAATCACTGGCAGAAATATCGCCTGTTCGCTCGCCTTCATCCGTGACTAACAAGAACGTGAACGATCATCATCCTGCAAACAACAGCGCAGCAACTGCGACTACTGCGAGCAACAACGTTGCTAACACCATCACTAATTGCTCCCCTAACCAGTCGCCCAAAGCATGGCAGAATTGCACCCAGGTTTGTCCCTATTCCCACAATCTCCTTACACTACATACATAGTTTAATTGCACGGTAGTTGTGTTCACCTGTGCGCAAAGTTTTGAACAAAGTTTTTGGACAGATGATGAATTTGGGTGAGGAAGTATAGCGGGGTATTAGGGCAACACGTGTGGTTGTTTGAGACTCTAGATTACTTTATAGGGACAGTTTATGAGGACATACATTTTTATATTTGGTACTTGGAAGAAAATACTTGATTGTTCTAAATGAACATATACATGGGTCACTGTATGTACTGTGTGTCACTGAGAATCGTATAAAGTCTAACTTGTAGCATAAGTTTCAAAGTTGATGCTAGTGATAGTAACGAGAGACATATGGAGCTAGTGAGGCTGTGGAGTGCTACTCTTGATGTCATATGTCAAGAAGTACCTTGATTATCCTTAGGTTCTCTATAACTTTACTTCTTTCACTGCCATAGGCTTTCACAGTTAAGAAGGCCCAGAATTGTCTCTAATCAAAGTCCCTAAAAATTTCAAAGACCCTATGTTAAAGAATCCATATTCTAAATCAAAGCTCCACCCATTCAAAGTTCAAAATTCCCCAAATCCTCTAAGCTCGAAATTCACAAATCACCAATATGCATTCTGAAGTCATTCTGCACCAATATGCAGTCTTGGAACTCTGAAATTTTCAAATTTTCTATTAAAATTCCTAAATCAAAAAATTCCAAAATACTTGTAAAAACTTTCTCAACCCACAAAGTATCAAAACCATCTTCGATCATTTTCAAACGAATCTCCCATATTTAAAGTACCACGCTATACTTGTTCACGAAATTTTCATGGATTACACGTACGTACATATCGCTTAACACACCCGAAGTCGTAGATAAACGGATATCGTTAAAAATCGATGACATTCGCAGTCGCACAATGATTCGGCGTCATCGTGGACCGAGAGGAGCGTCAGCCCCGGAAGTGCAGTAGTCAGCAGCGCCTCGAGGCCGCAGACGCCGGCATTTCCGGTACATCCACGAACCCCGTACGTCAACAATTCTTCACCGACGGTTACGTTCGCGGCCGATCGTTCTTACTCCACTTCGAACGCCACTTACAACGTGAACAACAATAACAATAATGTGAACAACGTCGAGGCAGCCGGGAACAACAACAATAATGTCGGGAATTATCCTAGCGAACGAACGATCTACATCGAAGAACGAAGAGAAGTCTCGAAGGAGACGGGACTTCCACCCAAGAGTCCGACAACACAGAGGTGAGATTTTCACCATTTTAAATATAATATAACTTTATAACGTAGTGTTCATAATACGTTTGAGTTTCGAGCTTAACGTGGGAGTGTTGCGAAAAATTTAGGAAAAGATTTAACACTTTGATGGCTACTCCTCCACTCTGTACATTATTTTTATCTACGTATGACAGTAATTATAGTTTGAAATTATGCTAATAGTTAGATTATATCTTTCATAGAAGTTAGATTAGAGAATCATGGGATCATCATAATCGTTACAGCCATCAAACTGTTGAGCTTCAAAATGACCGATTTAATTATCCACTGTGATTGATCAGCTTCGATATAAAGCGGGAACTCCCGTTAATATTAACACGTTTTATCCTCTAATTAGTTCGAATCGTGTAAATAAATCGAGTCTGTTAATTCCACGATAAGATAACGCATCGATATAAAGCGGTAATTTAGGACGCATTAAGACCGCCTCTTATCTACCTTGATCAATCAAGATCGCCTATAAAGTTAGAGGATATCCTTTCGATTTATGTTCCGATGGTTTACATAGGTATCGCATTTTCCCCGCGTTTTATGAGATTATTGCTTACTTGATTATGACACAGATTGATATTCGTGATTCTAGACGCTTGAGTTTCCCGGCAAGCGGGCCACTTAAACAAACGCATAACAAACGATGGCCGCTCACTAACCAATCGGCGTCGTTCGACTATAGGTAATATACTGAGAGCACTGGAACACGTGGTAAACGATGATTTCTCGTTTTTGAATGACGGAAACGCGTCGATTACGATGATGCGTCGTGAATGTTCGTGACACTAACCGTGTGGATTGAGACACTTTTCGTTGCAATTGCATCGTGTGATCTTCTACTAAATTTTAATCTCTTCAAAAACCATTTCTTTTTTGGAAGAATAAATTTCTTTAATATTATACTTGTTTAAAATTACTGAATAAAAATAACTACAAGAATAACATATGTGTACGAGAAAAAAGTCCACACATGTGGTGGTCCACATGTGTGTACGAGAAAAAAGTCTACATATGTGGTTGTTATTTTAAGAGGAAATTGATTATGAATGAAGAGGTTAAAATTCAATAAAAAATTAACTGCATCCTGAATAATGAAAATGAAAGTAAACGTATATTATAAATAAAGTAATTGAATATAAAATCGATGCAATTGCAATTCGTTTGCAGCGATATAATCGGAAACGAAGAGGACACGTGTACTCGTCGTGTGTGTTGCACCTGTTGAACTAACAAAAGCTCGAGCTTTTTGCATCGTGTATCACCTCGAAAGCATATTGTCATGCAGGAATATGTATCACGAAAATAAGAACCGTAGGAAACACGCATCCATAAAATAAACTTATCGACACAACGCGAAAGGAAAAATGATTTCCAGCAAACTTCTAACTGCAGCAAGAGAACATCGCTAATTAACAATGTACTATAAAATAATATATGCACCTGCTCGATGATAATTATTTATATATACGTGTGTGTATCTGTGAATCGTGCATCATCGGACAAAGAAGCTGTGAGTCACAGCTGTTACTTTGCACCGTTTGTGTTTCCTGTGTCGATGTATCCCTCCTTTCGTCCTAACTTCTGTGCAGGCAGTTTATTCAGGACAGAAAAATTTCAGGACATTTGCAAACTTAATTTAAGCATGTGTAACAGAAAATTTACAATTCAAATTCAAATGTAAATACCAAAATTTACATTCAAGAATGATTAAAGTTTGATGAAAACATTTTTGAGTAAAATTAATAAAATAAAAGTTCGAATAAACTGCATGTGCCTCACCACATATCCGATGTTTTCTCACGACACCTTGCACGAGTCATCCACGAAACACACACTGAAAAAGCCACACGCGTCTGCCTGCACGCGGAAACGAAACCCTGCACGAAATGCATCGGATAACGACACGATTGGTTCGTTGCAGCAAGGACCGATCTGTTTCTCCGATAAACGAGTCGACGATGCAGTCTCAGGTTGTCACACGCAGCCCTGGTACTCCGACTCACATCGAGTTCTCGCAGAGTCCCAAGGTACTTGTACTTGCAAAATCAAATTCCACTGCGCGAACGAAAAATGCTGAGGATAGATTTCTATTGGGATTTCAGAGTGCCACGTCGTATAGCTCCATCAACAGCGGTGGCCAGTCATCTCCGCAGGTCCAGTATTACGGTTCGAGACGATCGAGCGTTCATTCGAACACGGAGCCTCAAGAAGTGGCGGATGCCAATGTTAAATTTGTACGCGACACCAGCAGGATCTGGTATAAGCCTAACATATCTCGGGAGCAAGGTACGAGTTTAAGTTCTTTGGAAAAATTATTGTAGTCTTGTGGAGGATAAATTCGTGGAAATACGAGGATGACCAAAAGATTTGAGGGTTTAGAGTTTGAGGGATTTAAAAATTTGAAGAGTTGGAAATTTGATTGAGGAATTAGAGGTTTAGGTATTTGGAGATTTGGGAAATTGGAAATATGGAAATTCGGGGATTTAATAGTTGGGGGTGTAGGAATTTGAGGATTTAGGGCTTTGGGGGTTTAGATATTGGGAAATATTGGAATTTGGAGAGCTAGGAATTTGAGGATTTGTGAATTTAGGGAGCTAGAAATTTTTAAATCTAAAAATTCGAAGAGTTGGAAATTGGAGGATTTAGGAATTAAGGGTTTAGATATTTGAAGAGTTAGAAAATTGGAAATATGGAAATTCGGGGGTTGAATAGTTGGGGATGTAGAAATTTGAGGATTTAGGACTTTGGAGATTTAATCAACTAGAGATAGTCAACTAGAAATTTGAGAATTTGTGAATTTATGCAGCTAACAATTTAGAATTTTGGAAATTTTTAACCTCAAACTTTGACAATTTAGAAATTTAGATATTTAAAAACTTGAGACCTAGAAATTTGTAACCTTCATAAAATAATATTTCACTCGAATTGCAGCCATTTCGATGCTGAAAGATGCAGCACCAGGAACATTCGTTGTCAGAGACAGCAATTCCTTCCCAGGGGCATTCGGTTTGGCGCTGAAGGTCGCAACTCCACCTCCAGGTGCCCCAAGTAGCCCCAGAGACCCATCGAGCGAGTTGGTCAGGCATTTCTTGATCGAACCGACCTCCAGAGGTGTTAGATTAAAGGGGTGCGCCAACGAACCAGTGTTTAGTTCACTGTCGGCATTGGTTTACCAACATAGCTTAATGGCGATGGCTCTACCTTGCCAGCTGTTGCTACCAGAACCAGAAGCTGCAGCTAGAGCACTCGATTCGTCTAGCACGAACAGCACCCAACAGCTGCTTGCGCAGGGTGCAGGTAATTTTACTTGATTATACAAAAATATATTCATAAAACCTTCTTCCTTCATATTTTTAATTATTGCTGTAATAGCTACGTTAATGTCTTCATGAAAGTTTATAAAATTAAAAAAAGAAAATTTAATTTTTTAATGTTATATCTTAGTTACTTTAAATCCATAAGCTTCATAATGTACACAAAAAAGGACAATGTCCACATAAAAAATTAACATGTCCACGTAAAAATTAACACATGTCCATATGTACAAATTAACACATATCCACATGTCCATGGTCCTCATATAAAATTTAAGAATGTAGCTAAAGTACAGATATACATAAGAACCTTTGAAGAAATTAATTTTGCTTTTAACTTTACGATTGAGCTCAAATTATGATAATACATTAAGGACTTTTTGATCTAATGTACTGAAAAGTTTACTAAGGTTAGTTATTTGTTTCAGCCTGCAACGTTTTATACCTTTTCACGATGGACACCGAGTCTCTGACGGGACCTCAAGCGATCAAGAAAGCAGTCACGACCATGTTTGAACAGAAACCACTGCCTACTGCGACTATCGTTCATTTTAAGGTCTCCACACAGGGGATCACCCTGACTGATAACGCGAGGAAGCTTTTCTTCCGTAGACATTACCCCACGAACAATATCAGTTATTGCGGTTTAGATACGGAGGAGCGCACTTGGGATTTCTCTGGCGAGGACTTCGGACGATCTACCAGCGCTCAGTAAGCTCTTCAACTCTTCAAAAGACTCATAAACTCCTCAAGAAACTCTTAAACTCTCAAACTCTTCAAGAAGCTCTAAAGACGCGCTATAAGTCTCGCTATATGGCCCTGGAGAGAATTTTTCATGCTACAGTAAATGAAAAGAGTTGAAATTAAATGGGCAGAAGAATGAGTAAAAGAACTGTGCAATCTTCTTTTAGAGTCACATCCAGGGCCATATAGTGAGACTTCTGTATACTTCTTTAATATTCTGATATCACTTTATTAAAAATAACATCTCACCAGAAACGTACAAAGATTGAATTGCTATAAATTTACTGTAAATTCTCTGGTTGTTTATTGTAAAAATATTTTATGTTTTTACAGTCGATGTTTCGGATTCGTGGCAAGGAAACCCGCGCACAAGTCTGACAATCAATGTCACGTGTTCGCCGAGCTAGAACCAGAGCAACCAGCCACGGCCATAGTGAATTTCGTGAACAAGGTCATGATGGGCAATTCCATAGCGAAGGCCAACATCGTTTAAGCGACATTCACCGCATACCTCGACAATTCTCGAGTAACGGTCTTTGAAGAAGAGATTCATCGACGTGAAAATGTTGGCCACAGAGGATAAACGTGCATGTGTGGTTCTGAAAAAGCTAGTTGACTCTCGTTATAGATCTTCGTGCATTTCGTGAACGTAGCTAATCGGAGTCAGTAGAGCATGAACGTTCTAAACAGTAGCAGTTAACGTTAAGGGGTTGTGGATCATTCTTCGCGACGAAGGAGGATCAATACGTAAACGGATATTCGATTCCATCCTTGTTGATCACACGCTCGAGAAGAGATACGTTGTTGACGATCGTTACTGTTGGCAAAATTATCTTTTAGCGAGTAGCAGAGTAATATAAGCGAAGCTCGGAGCAAAGTATTGTGATGTGTAATTTTGTTTGGTAACTGTATTATTTGTTCAATTCGGTGATCTGATTTTAATTACACCTGAAGAGAACCTTCAATATTTTGTAACCTTCAATATTTTGTAAACTAAATTGATCATTTTTTAAAATAATTGTTACTCAAGTTCAGGTGATCAATGTATACTGGGAATATTAAGAGAAGGTTTGCAAGTCAGAAGAATATAAATATACAAGATTTGATATAAATATATATCTTGAAGATTACTGAGGTGATGTTGGTTTAAGTTCTATGTATCTTAACTTCTAAAATAATTTTTCAAATCTCGACATCAGTGTAATTGTCAAATGAATGATCAAGTAATAAGTGATCAACTGCCAAACGGGAATCAAGGTTAAAGGCAAAAGCACCGCGAAACGGAAGTTGCAACACTGTACTTTGCTTCGAGGGCAAAATTGTTACAGAAAGGATACCGTGTACCGGTCTAGAGTACGGTAGCTATTAGTGGAATATCGATCGCGTTGTAATCTCGATCGTCCGGCGCTGGGAGCGCAAAATAATCGCGAGTACGTCTCGATCGCATGAAACCCACGATAATCACTCATACACATACACAGAAATATATACGTTATACACTATTGCGAAGAATAGTTGATCAATGTACGTTATCATGAAAGTTATACTTGGGACTCTCGAGTAATGTTTAGGGAAGAAATGTTACGTCGTTGCGGAGCCATTTTGTCGTAGCCCAAGAGAAGGCTAGCGTTACATATAAATAACTGTAAATAAGTGAAGTGTACGAAGAACGCCGATACGAAGATGGCCGAAGGAAGAAAATGGAGGATCGAGTAGCGTCGAGTAAATCAGACGGAACAGAAATAAACGATACTCGAAGAGGAGTAGGGTAATCGAAACGAAGCATCACATCGTCGTATATTTTTTTTTCTTTCATCTCCCTGAAACCCATAGGTTCTTGCCATTAAATCGTCCTCGAGCGACGTCCTTCGAAACCGGTCGAACCGACGAAGGACGGTCCTGTCGAGGACGAGGATAAGCAGTCAATTATTATGCGAGAGAACGTTACATGTAATTACTACGACAATACTGTAGCCACAAGAGGATGATCATTTGTGATCCTTCTTGCGGCACACATTTCTTCGTCTTTGTCTTCTTTTCGATGTTTCTATGTGCGCGAAGATTGGTCGGGTCCTGCTTCCCCTTCTTCGTACCTCCCATTCCCTACACTCCTTTCTTGATACTGATTCTACACATCCTTCAATTTTTCAAGACCTGGATATTTTCTAGGATCTTCAGTAGTTTAAAATGGAGGTGGAACGAAGAGGAATGATAGACCACTGTGCTAGTCAAAATTCGTGTATACTCGAACAAGCAAGAATTTGATATACGTGTAGACCTCGAGAGAGGTACGATAATGACCCGATCTTTCTTCTCCCTTGGATTCTTTTTTTTATGTTTCTTCGTTTTCGCGGTTTGCGACCGCAACGATCGTTGTCTCGTCTCTTATATGTATGTTTAAAATTCCGTGCACGCGGGAACCTGAACTAACCGAGTTAACATTAATTTAACACCAGTCATTATATAATAATTATCGAATTAATTATTTACTTGTTTACGCTCTATTATTACCGTACGATCACGCAATAACTGTATTGTTGCATACCGGAACGGGTATGTTCTTTATAGATGTAACGATAATAAACCCATATTCGAAGCGTAACAACAGTTGTTTCATTTCTTCCTTCTCTTCTTTATCTTACTGGTGCGTGAAATAATTTCTAGACTACTTTGTACGCGTTTGTGTTTACTCAATTTATAATCTTGTATACTCTTGTATAATTTATAATCTTTATAATCTTAGAAACTTTCTTATCAAGACAAGTAGATATTCTACTTGTCTTAAGACATTGTAAAATTATGTAAGGGAAAGCAAAAGTTACCAGAAAATTTTCACGGTCAATACTCCCATTCATATTCAGCTAAAAGGAGTCCGTTAGGTTCACAGCTATGGTAAGTAGAAATCCATCTCCCGATTACCGTTAGTAAATTATAATGGAATGAACAGCACATGAAGAAGTATCTTACGCTCTTCGCGTGTATTAGATAGATTAATCAAAAGTTCATGCATAGATAACGGTAAACTGATTGTAAAATCTTGATTTTATATACAAATTTAAATATAGATAATAAAATGCAAACGTTTTTAACGCGTTGATTTATATCAGTGATTGATTGAGTCGGGAAAGGGGGATTTAGAAATTGATTGATTATGTGATTAATAATCAGTTCAGTGTGAATTGCTGTATATATGGAAATTGAGATACTCAATTTGTAGATTTCTGTGTCGATTAATTTTATAAACTTCGAATCTATAATTTTAGAAATTTTTGGAATTTGCTGTTTTTGCAAATTTCTAGGTCTCCAAATTTCTACATTCTCAAATTTCTATGTCTCAAAATTTCTACATTCTCAAATTTCTAGGTCTCCAAATTTCTACATTCTCAAATTTCAAGGTCCCTAAATTTCAAGGTTCCAAAATTTTAAGGTTATAATATCTATATTTCAAATTTCTGTGACTCCGAATTCAAATGTCACCGAATATCTACTCACATATTCCTAGGTCTTCATATATCTTTGTCCTCAAATTTGGACGACTTCAAATTTGGATGTGTTCAAATTTCTACGCCCCCAAATATCCAATACCCCAAATCTCGATGTTCACAAACACCTAAATTTCCGAATTCGTACATTTTCAAATTTCCACGTTTCAAAATTCTCATATCCCCAAATTCTCAGGACCTAAAATTTCTAACTTCCCAAATTTCTCGGCTCCCAAATCTTCAGATCTCCAGAATCCCATTTTCCACAAAATACCTACATCCCCAAATTCCTAGGACTCTAAACTAAATCTCCAAACTCCTTCTTTTCAAAATTCTTAACTCCTGAAGCTAGGTCAAGTTCCTATATTTCCTCAAAGTCCCCAAATCCCAAAACTCCTACTTTACAAAATTCTTACATCCTGAAGCTAGGTCAAGTTCCTATATCTTCTCAAAGTCCCCCAAATCCCAAAACTTCCAAAACTACACCAAAACTAGATCAAAACCGCTTTTCCTCTCTCAACTGTCATACATTTCCCAGAGAAATCACATTTGCTCTCAGTCGTATGCATTATCGTCCTTGACGCTTCAGTAAGGATACCCGTTGAAAAGTAGCGTCACATTCCACTAACCTCGGTCCACTATCGCTAGAGAAGGAGCTTGAGTACTGAATACCATACAGAAATCCCGTAATCCGGGCCCGTGGGGCACACCAGTGAAACTGTCGTTTTTCGTTTACGCTCACAAGACTGGTTCGAGCTAACAGTCAATAAGGAGCCTTCGAGAAGATCACACATCCTGGCCTGATTCAGGCCGACCATGGCTGTCGACGTTCTGTCGATCCTGCGGCTCGGATTTAGCTTATCGATTGTCGTTTCGTTAAGTCTGATCGATGGCAAACCAGCACATGATTTTGAACTGTTCATGCAGGAGAAGAATTATTCGTTTTTGAATGAGGGGAATTTGTTTGTTGAGGGGAGAAGGGATATTGAGAGGTTTGTGTGTTAAGTGATTCTCAGTGATTTAATGTGTTTGTGGTTTTATGATGAATTGGAGAATTTTCTATTTTTTTTTTTAATTGAAACTGTAATTTAATTTCTGAGTTGAGATTTTACCTTTTCGTATAATGTATGTATTATGGTAAATTTGTAATTATTCAGAATTTGGTTGATTTAGTTTTAAATTTGAATTTTGTGTTTGGTTGCTTAATTAGTGTAATACTGATCTTTAATAGTTCACATGATCGCATTCCAAATGATACAATAACTAAATCTGATCTTCAAATCTAAAAACCAATGACGTTCTTTGAAAACATTTCAAGGTTTTCGAGTCCTAATATTCTCAGAAATTTTCCAACTTAAAAATTAAGAACAATTAAGAATGAAACAATTAAGAATTCTTGAAACTCTAAAGTAGAATTAAGAAATAGGAGAAATAGAATTCTTAAAACTAAAAAGATGGTTATCTCAGGTACCAAATCCCCTCTAAACATCTAAACGAAACAACCAACACCTCAACCCATGAAACCAAAAGAGGATTTTCCTTCGTGGACATCGTCGAATCAGTATTCTCCGTTGTTGCAAATGGCTTTGGGTCACTTATGACCAGTATCATAGGAACCGAGAAAAGCTCAAAGCCACGGTCCAACAGAGTCAGCTACAAGAACTATCAATTAATCAGATTGTATCCGAACACTGAGACCCACGCGAAAGACTTGAAGGAACTTATGGATTCCGAGCCTGAATACATAAAATTCTGGACGATGCCGATGAATAACAAGTATGTGGTTTCTGAGGTCGTTTCGTTGTGCCGTTTTCAAAAAACCGTGGTTTTAGGACGACGGACGTGGTGGTCTCGCCGGACCTCGTTTCGGATGTGAAGACTTTTTTGAGGAGCAAAGGCATTGACTTCACGGTGCTGATATCGGATATACAGGTATGGAATAATGTTAGATGTCTCTTTGATCATTTGGTCATTAGTTATTAGTAATTATTAGTTAATGTTGTAGTTGTTAATTCACCTGAATTACCTGAACTAGTTAGTAGTTTTAATAATTTATGTTGAGTCACGATATGTGGGGTGATATGCGGGATGATATGTGCAGTGATATGTAGGGTAATATGGGTTGATATGTGGGGTGATATGGAGTGATATGTGGGGTTTATATTTTCATACGAATCTATATAGTTATAAAATTTATTCACCTACTTGCAAACTGTCATATGTGGAGTGATATGTGGGATAACATGTGGAGTGATATGTGAGGTGATATAGGATGATATGTGGGTTTATATTTTCATACGAATCTATATAAATGTAAAATTTATTCACCTACTTGCAAACAGTCATATGTGGAGTAATATGTGGAGTAATATGTGGGTTGATATATGAGGTAATATGGGGTGATATGTAGGATTTATATTTTCATACGAATCTATATAAATATAAAATTTATTCACCTACTTGCAAACAGTCATATGTGGGGTGATATGTGGGATAACATGTGGAATGATATGTGAGGTGATACAGGATGATATATGGGTTTATATTTTCATACGAATCTATATAGACATTAAATTTATTCACCTACTTGCAAACAGTCGTATTAACTATCAACAGAGAATATTAACAAAGTACAAAAATATTTAATAAAATCCATAAAAAGTATAAATAACCTAACTAAATTTTCACCAGCCCCCAACCAGTAAATCTCTCAGTTTTAACGTCCATCACGTTCCCATAAAATAGTGAAGCTACCTACCTACCTATTACCTACCCACTACCTATGAATGAAAATCTAATCCAGCATATCGTGTTTAAAAGAAAACGATAGCCCATCAGAATCCAAAGATGTCCAAAGAGCAGCGCGAAGATCTGGTGAACACTCACGGTCACAGCATGACCTGGAAGAGATATCATCGATACGGAGGTAAATAACCTAAATTAGCTCGTTATCTGCCGGATCGTCGAACGATTTTCTTCCAGATATCGCTAGATACATGGACTACCTAGCCTTCAGATACCCAAGTCTGGTGGAACTAATAACCATTGGACACAGTTACGAGGGACAACCCATAAAGATGGTGAAAATCTCGTCTGGTCTGGCCAAGGATGGCTATGACAAACCAGCGATCTGGATAGATGCTGGTAAGTTCTAGTTTCTTTCACTTGTTCTCACTGGAACGTGTTTACCCAGTTACGATGAAATTCATGATAAACCTGACGTGCATATTGATGATTTACATGCGTTATAACGCGTTTTACCATTTGAGAAATCTAGATCTTTATTATTCCTTGAGTATACAGGTACAATCAAATCTCCGTTAACTTTGCATAATAATCCGTGAGATATTTTTGCAGAACTGCGTGTATGAATTTCTAATGGTAATTCTATTCAAGATAGAGATGAGTTTATGAGAATGTAGACTGATGAGTTCAGAAAGTTGTACGAATAGGAATCGAAACGAATTAGTTCTTCTTCTTATCTTTGGAAGGGAGGGTATACTGTCAGTGACAAGTTTGAATATTGAAAAATGTAGAATTGAGATGGGAGAGTTACTAGTTGATTTTTGGGGGTTTTCGAAGATTTGGGATCGGGTTGAGATTTTGAGAAAATTGGAATTTGGAGAGTTAAGGTTTTTATGATTTGTGGGTATGGAAATTTAGGAATCTGGAGATGTGGATTTTGGGGTCTCGAAATTTGGGGGTTTAGAAGTTTTGGGGGTCTAGATATTTAGAGGTTCAGAAGCTTGAGGCTTTAGAAATTTGGGGGTTTAGAAATTTGGGAGTCTAGAAATTTGGGGATTTAGGAACTTGAGAGGCTAGAAATTTGGAAGTTTAGAAACTTGGGGGTCTAGAAATTGGGGGGTTTAGAAGCTGGGGGGTCTAGATATTTGGAAGTTTAGAAACTTTATGGTCTAGAAATTGGGGGGTTTAGAAGTTTAAGGGTCTAGAAACTTTATGGTCTAGAAATTTGGGGATTTAGAAATTTAGGGGTTTAGAAGCTTGAGGGTCTAGAAATTTAGGGGTTTAGAAACTTGAAATTCCAGAAATTTGGGAATTTAGCAATTTGAAGGTCCAGAATCTTGGGATTTGGAAATTTTGGATTTGACAATCATAGAATTTAAGAAACCAAAATTTTGAAGATCTACAATTTCACTATCTTAGAATTTAGAGAAGTAGATACTTAGAGAGCTCCAAAATTGAAGATCTACCTATGAATTTCAGAGTCCAAGAGGGTTCCTAAGAATTCTGAATCCTCGGAATCTAGAGAACCTTGAAATCTTAGGAATCTAGAGATTTCAATATACATTCTATAATTCTTCTTATTCATTACAGAAGCTTAACAACAGATTAAACAATGATTTCCTACACAATAGAAATCACTTTTGTTAATTTATTGCTTCGCATTAATTGAATTAAATTTTTCCTCGCACCTAATCTCATCGAAAGCTTAAAGCACTTGATAATTGATAGGATTGAGAGATAAAGAATTGTCTCGTGCAAACTCAATCCAAGTTGCGTCAGATTATCTTTCTGACGCAAATCTTATGATATCTAAAAAATGTCAAAATACAAAAAATAGTTCAATCTATTTTATATATACAACTGAATACCCCGTAAATATACTTCCATGTTTACTAGGGAAATTAAATAAGATTTACTTAATTTATTTCTCAACTTCCGCTCTTCACTTCACGCTAATGCTATTTTAACACTTGAACTACCAACCAGTGAAAATGACTGGTTTCAGATTTATTTTATATTACAAAATATTATTGTTGTGATTTTATGAAAATTTCTGTCATATTTTATTCAGGTAAAAACTAGTTCTACATGTTACTTGATGCTTTAGTGTTCATTTATTTCTCTTTTCATTTTTTTCATTTTTCGATAAACGAGCATTTAATGTCGGTAATTCTAGTGTCAATGAAAATAGTGTAAAAATAATAGAAAGGTGAAATTTGTTTTATTCTTTCTTTCACTGCAAAATCCTTCAATATTTAAGTATGCAAAACGACTATCAAGAGCAACAAATTTCCATGGGGTCCTGTCCCGTTACCTCTCGCATTTTCTCGAATTCGTACTCCATAGGCATGCACGCACGTGAATGGATCAGCTCCGCTGTGGCGACCTACATCATGAGCCAGTTAGTCGAGAAGAATACCAGCTACTCAAAACTGCTGGACAATGCTGACTGGATGATTTTACCTGTCGCGAATCCTGATGGCTACGAGTTCACTCACATCGGTGATAGATTATGGAGGAAGACTCGTAGCAACCATGGAGACGATCAAGACGACAGTCGGTATGTGGTCTCTGAGTTTGGGAGCTGAGAAAATGGCGGTCATCAACGGAAGCGAGGAAACATACTTCGATATTTCAAGATTAATTAATATTTCGATTATCTAATCTGACTGAAATTTATTAATATTCATATCATTTGATCACTTTTGGATAATTGATTGCTGTTCGGCAGATAAATTTTGACGGAAATTAATATGCAAACCTGACTGCTGATATTAATCATATTAATCAGTAGCAGATATTAATAGATTATTTATATCATTTCACTGGACAGAATGTATATTGAAATATTATTTGACTGATGTTTGGTAAATTAGTATAGGACATATCGAGGACTAAAAGATTAAAGATTAAACTAAAGATTAAAAGTGATCTTCGTCGTAAAGTGAGAGCTTGCTCCAAGTGTCATCTTCTCAGTTCCAAATAAGATTAAACTAAAGATTAAAAGTTGTCTTCGTCACAAAGTGAGAGCTTGCTCCAAGTGTCATCTTCTCAGCTTCAAACAGAAATCTACTTCATAGAAAATGAAGCTATCAATTAGTCGACGATTTACTAATCTAGTCTAGTCCTGGTGATTTTTACTAATTGTCTATACATTGTATAGACAGTCCCATTCTAGTCTACTTCAACTCGTGAGCCATTATACAAGGTGGTTCTGGGGCAAATGCGAAGGTGTCGATCCGAACCGCAACTTTGGATACCATTGGGGCGAAGTGGAGGAGGGTGGAGCGAGTTTAGACCCCTGTCACGAAACTTACGCTGGTCCGCATGCTTTTTCTGAACCGGAAACCAAGGCGATGGCCGAATACATTCTGACGAATAAACAGAGTATTAGGTGAATATACCAAATGATTGAAAATGATATGAAAATAGTAGGAGAGTTCTGAAAATGTCTTGTAACTATGTTAGCTTCGTGATAAAAATTCACCTTCATTCACAGTTAAAAAATTCACCTTCATTCAAAATTAAAAAATTCACCTTCAATCAAAATTAACAAATTCACCTTCATTCAAAATTAAAAAATTCACCTTCATTCAAAATTAAAAAATTCACCCTCATTCACAGTTAAAAAATTCACCTCCATCAAAAATTAAAAAATTCACCTTCATTCGCAGTTAAAGAATTCACCCTCATTCAAAATTAAAAAATTCACCTTCATTCAAAAAAAAAAAAATTCACCTTCATTCACAGTTAAAAAATTCACCTATATGATACAAATAGTGTCTTCAACGTATCATACTAATTAGTTAATCAGTCCTTAACTACAGTTAAACTTATAGATAAAGTTTTTATATTTCACAAAGTCCTACAGTATGTTTACTCAATCTCGCACAAGTACCAGATAATAAACACTGCTACCTAGTTACTCTACGATTCAAATAATAAATTTCATATAATTTTTTAAATCGACTCCGTTGCAACCAGCTCTTATAGTAATTATATTCAAACAACATATAAAATATTAATTAATAATTTTTTAACTTACTAATGTTAACTACTATTTTTTCTTTCAAAAGAACTAAAGTTTCGTGTTCAGAACTGACGTTTCAATAATCGAATTAAAAAATTATTAAAAAATTTGTTTACTGTTAATCGTGAAAGTGATGATATATATTTGCAGGATGTATTTAACGTTGCACTCTTATTCGCAAATGTGGCTAGTACCATGGGGATACACGCATTCGAAACCGTCCGATTATTCGGAACTAATGGGAGCAGCTAGAAAAGCTGTCGGTGCAATTTCGAAGGTACACGGCACCAATTATCAACTTGGTCCGTCAGCTGATTTATTGTATCCGACATCAGGTATGATAACGGAGTAAATATTTCATGCGTATATAACAGAAAATATTGGCTTGTTATCGCGTTTGTTTGATAACAATTCAGTAATTAGTGGAACATAAACGATGCCGCGGTTTTGTAGCTAATTAAATTGATTATTATTAAAACTACCTGATAACCCAGATATGAAATGTTGTGGAACTTTTTTGAGATATCACTATTGATCGTGATAGTATTATGTGCAAGTAATGGGGACATTTTCAAGGTTACTCTAAGGAGTATAGGCTGTTAACTGTTATTATTCATTTTTGATGAACTACGAATTTATATTTCTACAAAATGTATTGTAGAAAACTTGCATATTTGTTAAAGTAAGAAATTTTTAAGACTTCTCGTTACGATATTAAATTTTCAAGCTGCAGTTTCTGATCTTTGAAAGATACAATATTTTCAAACTTCTTAACTCTTTGCACTACTTAAGTTTTTTTACCTATCAACTCTTTAATTTATAAAATGGACGATGAAAGGGGTTCTCGATAAAATGTATTGCAACAGTGCAGAGTATGATAAATTTTTCATTTATTATAAGTAGGAAATAAATGAAAATATATTTATTCAGCAAATCTATTTATCTGAATTATTTATGAGATCCAAAAGAAATTTAATGTGGAGCCTTGACAGAGGAGATCAAAGGTTTCAGGTTAGGATTCAAACTGATCCTCAAAACGTCAAATTCTAAAACATTCAAATCTTCCAATTTTTATATCTGAAACTTTCTTAATTCTCTAAACTTCCAAATTCTTAAACCTTGAACCGAAATCCTCAAACCAGAAAATTCTAAGAGCTCCAAACTTCTTCTAAAGTCGACAAAAGTTCAAATCCTCAAAAGTGCAAATTCTAAAATTCCTAAAACTCATAACCTCAAATCCCTCAAATCTCGAAACATTCAATCACACGAATCTTGAAATCCTAAAACCATAAATCAGGAAGTCATAAAACTCAGATCCCCAAAAGTTCAATTATCTAAAAATACAAATCCCAAGATCATAAAATCCCGAAACTCCGTAATCTCAAATCGTCCGCTTCCCGAAATAACACAAACTCCAAAACTCGAGCTCCAAAATCTTCAAATTTCCAAATTATTATCTTCCAAATCCTCGAGAGAGTTAAAGTCCAATTCTTCAAAAGCGTAAGCTCCCAAATCTTCAAATTGACAGATAACTAAATTCTCGTCCTATATCTGGAATTTTTAAATCTTCAGATAAATAATCAAACGTTAATTTTGTAGGTGCCTCGGATGATTGGGCGAAAGGTGTAGCTGGAATAAAATACGCGTACACAGTGGAGCTTCGAGATCGTGGAACTTACGGATTTCTTCTACCAGCGAACCAAATTGTGCCCACAGCCCGCGAAATTTGGGCCGGGATCAGAATGATGGCTCGTCTAGTCACTTGTAACACGTGAGATTCGTGTTGGTCTGCATGGACGATCCGTCCGTATCGCCATCAAATCAAAACGTATATCAGCTGTTCGTATCGTAATAAAAATCTGTCTGGACGCGTAAAAATGATTGCGTAAATATTCGAATCGATATCGATCGTTATCTCCGATAACGATTTCGTTCGTCTTTGAAAGTACGATGCAAAGTTCAATAAATCGGATCTGGCGAAATGTCTCCGAATTACAAATCAAGCTGTACTATTCTTATCTATGATCTGTAAATATTGTAAATCTAAAGAGTCAGGAATGTATAACTGATAGATGTTGTAATTTATACGTAACATATTTGAACAAAGTAGCATGTACTCAGTAGAATAAATAAACTTTAAGAAATAGTTTCTTGCGTCTCTTTCTCATATTCGATAGAAGTAAACAAGCGTGAGTGAATGTTTTCATAGAGAATCTAGAAAAATAGAATCTTGTCAAGCAATCAGTGCGATATAATAACTGGTAACATCGTATTATTGAAAGAGATCACGATATTGGACCGATAATCGGAATGTTCATCACCCACGTACATGAACCACTTGTAAGGAGATGTATCTGCAATAAAAATAGCACCATAAGGACCTGTTATCGATTACAATTTAGAATTATCACGAGATATACTCGTTCAGAAGCATATATAAATCGTAATTTCAAAACGATCCACTAGTTACTTCGAAACGACCGAATAACAATGTTGACCAAGTGCGTTTTGGCTGCCATCCTCGTGTTCCAGGGTAAGAAATTCCGATAAAATCAAACAGTCGCATGTACACAATTAATTTTATTCGGGATGTTCACGGAGAAAATGGTTTGTTATAGTTTGCCTGGCCGTGCCCTACAACCTGACCCCACGTATCACCGACGGTGTAGACGCCGCCCCCGGTGAATTTCCATACCAAGTATCCGTACAATGGGGAGTCCCACCTCTGGTTAAATACAGCCACAGCTGCGGAGGTTCCATCTTGAACCAAAACTACATCCTGACTGCTGGACACTGCGTCCTCAAGGTTGGAAAACTCAGGGTCATCGCTGGTAAATACTACCTGTCCAAGGACGAGAGCTCCGAACAGGTTATCAACGTTGCTAAGACTGTTGTCCACAGCCAATACCCAGGGTGAGAATCAAATAGAAACCTTAAGTTCTTTCCTATAATGCCAGTTACCGAAAAACCTTGAAAACAGGCAAAAAAACTAGATCAACTAGAACAGGCGAGAGACTAGATCATTGTTTTTCATGATCGTATTATTCGTAGTTTACCTGAAATGAAACGTAATCTCAATTTGGTAATCTCTATTCCCTACGCAAACAAAATGAGATAAAATACTCGAGCAAGCGTTTTATGTCTCTTTGACTCATCTCTCTTTTCTCAATGACTTTACAGAGGCGTTGCCCAACATGACATCGCCCTTCTCAAGTTGGAGAAACCCCTGAAATTCAACGCTCAGGTGCAACCCATCAAGCTACCCGCCCAAGGTCAGAAACAAGCCGGACAGGCTATCCTCAGTGGATGGGGATCAACATCTAAGACCGTCCGCCCTGTTCTTCCTAACAAACTCCAGAAGGCTAATGTACCAATCATCTCCAACGAGGAATGCTTGAAGGAACTGAAATCCCAGAACACCGTTGGCAAACAACCTGAACTCTTCGACACCCAGGTCTGCAGTGGCAGCGCTGGCAAAGAAATCTCTGCTTGCTCTGTAAGTATAGTTCTGTTTGGGTTTTGGGAGGGTTGAAAGAGTATGATAGATGAATTATGTGGATATGTTGGATTTTTAAATATTCAAATATTCAAATATTCATGCTTGGATTTTCAATATCCAAGCATGTGAACATATAAGCAGATTAATGTCCAAACATGTAAATCACCACATCCCCAAATGTATATCTTCCTCAAGTCCCTGAACCTCTGAGTCTCCAAATCTCTAACTTTCCAGATTTCCAGATACCCAAATCTTCAAATTTCCAAACTTCTAACTTTTCAAATTTCCAGATACCCAAATCTGCGAGTCTCCAAATCTCTAACTTTCCAAATTTCCAGATACCGAAATCTGTAAATTTCCAAATTTCCAAATACCCAAATCTGCAAATCCCTAAATCTCCGAGTCTCCAAATTTCTAACTTCCCAAATTTCCAGATACCAAAATCTACAAATTTCCAAATCTCTAACTTTCCAAATTTCCAAATACCCAAATCTGCAAATCCCTAAATCTCCGAGTCTCCAAATCTCTAACTTTCCAAATTCCCAAATACCCAAACCTTCAAATTTCCAAATCTCTAACTCTCCAAATTCTCAGATACGCAAACCTTCAAATTTCCAAATCTCTAACTCTCCAAATTCCCAAATCCCCAAATCTACAAATTTCCAAATCTCCAACTTTCCAAATTCCCAGATACCCCAACTTTCAAATCCCTAAATCTCCGAGTCTCCAAATCTCTAATTTTCCAAATTTCCAAACACCCAAATCTGTAAATTTCCAAATCTCCGGTCTCCAAATCTCTAACTCTCCAAATTCTCAGATACCCAAACCGTCAAATTTCCAAATCTCTAACTCTCCAAATTCCCAAATCCCCAAATCTATAAATTTCCAAATCTCTAAATTCCTGAACCCTGATGGACCATCGTCAGATCACAATTTATTAACAAATAAATGCATGAATGTCCATTGATTTTGTCTTTGATAATTTACTAATGTCTATTGTGTTTGCAGGGTGACTCTGGCGGCCCACTCGCCCAAGGACACGGAAAGAACGCCGTTCAAGTTGGTATCGTCTCCTGGGGAATGATGCCATGTGGAACCAGCCACATGCCCTCTGTCTACACCCGTGTCGCCTCCTACGTCGACTGGATTCACCAAAACATGCACTAAATATCAACCCCTTCGGCTAACTCTGTTTCCTAAAAATGAACCCGCAGTAAAATTTACTGCATTTCTTGTAACATTACTGCAATAGAAAAATAAATATGCAATACTAGTTTCAACATGTGTTATCTCCATTATTCCTCCGTGCCAAAATAATTATGAGTAAAAGAAAACGAATGAGATAAACTTAGAGATAGGCGGTAATTTTTCGTGGAAGTTTTGCAATGGCGGAAGGGAGTAAGAATGAATTCGTATGTCGAAATCGGATAATTACAATCGTATCAATCAAATTAAATCTCTGCAAGTTAATTATCGCACGTAGAAATCAGTACGCAGGGAACAATGAAAAAGGAACTGCGTAATTGACGTCGATCTGACAATATCGTGAAAGAAATAGAGATAGTTGACGCACGCAACTGAAAAGAAAAAATCAAACTAGATTAGTGTTTCAAGATCATTGATACACTCTATGTCAATATAGATAATAGTAATTAACGATTGCGCTATGAGTGTAGTACGAAGACGTAATCACTATTTTCTATCTATGAGGAGATATGTCGTCACATGTCTCTGATTTTTAAAACTATTCTCTAAAATATTATTAAGTGCATACATTGTAACATTATTATGAAAGCTAATCCAAATTACTTCATTGTTCGTGTTCATTTTATAAAATGACCTTCAAAATATCTTGAAGGCCGTTCTGTCGTAATTGAAAAGACGATGACAAATGAAAGAAGTCCATCCATCATAAAAAATGAAGGAAATCACTAGACGTGATAAACTCTTTTTAATCTCACGTGCATCATTGACTGCTAGACAGATTAAGTATTACTCGCGTCGATAAGGTATCGATATCGGGAAGATGGACTAGTATATAAGTCACAGTAGCATCGAAAAGCTTCATACCAACAAAATGTCTTCGAAGTTGATCATCCTTCTTACCTTCCTCGCTGTGGCCTCTGCCAGTAAGTCAATTTTTAGTAACTACTCTGCTAACTTTGTATTCCAACGAGAAGTTGCAATCGTTTAGTGTTTGGTTAAGGTAGTTCAGTGTTTGCTTAATTTTTTCAAATTTAAGTCCTTTATTCGATTGACATTTTTCGATTTAAGTCTTTCATTCAAGTGACATTTTTCAATTTAAGTCTTTCATTCAATTGACATTTTTCAATTTAAGTCTTTCGTTCAATTGACACGTTTACTGCAATGTTTACCAATGTTCTAAAGTTTAATATCAGCTACTGGAGTATCATACAGGAAACAGTTTGGAAATCATTCTGAACATTAAAATATTTTGTACGCAAAGTAGTAAAAGGCTTCAGTAAAGCAATAAGATAATTTCATAAATAATTGCAACTATATGTCTGACTGTCCACATATTTGTTATAACACTCATTGACTTAGAATTCATTTAAAAATAATTTTTTAAATCTTGTCGTTAATTAAATCTTGTTCTTTTACAGCCAAGCCCTTCCTCGGCGTCCCAGCGCCGTTCTTCCTGGGCCGCATAACCGGAGGATCGGAAGCAACCCCAGGTTCAGCACCTTGGCAAGTTTCCCTTCAATGGGGAATGTCAAGCAGCTCCCTGTCCCACTTCTGCGGTGGTTCCATCTTGAACAGCCAATGGATTCTCACAGCTGGACACTGTGTTCTGGCTGTTCCAAGCTATGGTCAATTCGTGGTCAAAGTAGGAAAACACAACTTGAAGCTGACCGAGAGCACTGAACAATCCATCCGTGTTTCGAAGTCCATCGTTCACGAACAATACGTTGGGTAATTAAACCTGTCATTCTAAACACCTACACATTACCAGAATTTGTTCCTTGAAGGACTCTATAATTATTTCTGCAAGTATCTTCTTTGTTCTTGTCAATTTATTTAATTTCTTTACTTTGCAAATACTGTGGGTTCAATATTAGAACATGGCTTAAAGAGGTGGTCAGATGAAGGGATTTAAAGAACGATACAAAAATTGAACAAAAAATTAAATATCTAATATTTATTGATTTAACCGTCATTCAGTAGCAAATCAACTAAAGTAGCAATTATCAACTACAATGAAAGTTACACCAATTACAAAGATAATAACTAATGTTTGATCATTTTTCACTGCTAATTTTTGCTATTGTTTATCTTCATAACAGAGATGTAGCACCCTACGACATCGCCCTGTTGAAACTGGCCTCTCCCCTGAAGATGACCAAGACGGTCCAAGCGATCGCCTTACCATCTGCAGGAAGCAACCCCTCCGGAACTGCCACCTTGACAGGCTGGGGATCAACTTCAAGGACCTCGTACCCAATCATGCCCGATAAACTCCAAGTTGCCCAGTTACCTCTGGTCGACCTTGCCACCTGCAAAAAGGCCGTCGAATCTCTCGTTGGTCCATCCCCATTGCACGAGACCAACGTCTGCACTGGTCCCCTCACCGGTGGATACTCTGCGTGCAGCGTAAGAAATCGAATTTGATTAATATAGTATATTAACTGAAGTGTTAACTGAAGCTAATAATTATCGTAATTTCAGGGTGACTCTGGCGGTCCATTGGTCTTGAACAAACAGATCATCGGTGTCGTTTCCTGGGGAATCGTTCCTTGCGGCACAACTGGAGCTCCTTCTGTCTACACCAAAACTTCCTCTTTCATTTCCTGGATCCAGGACAAGATTGCCAAGAACTAAGAAAAATATGAAATGCAAATTTTTGAAATCATGTAATATATGCAAATATGTAATTAACGAAATGTAAAGATGCAAATTGTAAAATAATAATAAAAATAAATACTCTTTTACTGTTTAATATAGACATTTACTGTGTTTAATATAAAATGACTACATGAATAAATATATTTTCAAATTGAAAAAGGTAGATAGTTGTTAGATATAATAGAATCATTTGCACACTCAATTTCAAGGTAATGCAACCCGCACTCGCCATAAAGGGAATATCCGCAACAGCTATTTCAGAGATCAGAAATAGACTTTCAGAAGAGTCAGCTCTTTCTTTCCTTCCTTTTCCTGTACGTTCTTAATTCATAGTCAATGATCGCGTGACAGTGAAAAAGAAATTGCATCAATAGAGCCCTTAAATGGTCAATGGAAGTGTATACACAAGTACAAGTCACGAGCTGACATGTAGGAAGAAAGATCCAGTTCCTCCTCAGGATGGTCTTCCGCGATAACTCTCACCTTCGTCGTATCAAAATCGGCATTTGATCTCGATTCTTCGAACGAGTCGCGCGAAATAGTTCTACAAAATTATGGATACTATGTACGGGATATTGGTAATATTGAGTTTCAATCTTTTGATGTGTGGTGGGACAAATGGTAAGACTTTCGATTATTTTTATTCCGAAATTCTATCTTCCTCGTGTATCTACGATGTTCTTCCTTTGGATTTTTGTGACACTGGAAAATTTATATTAAAAAATTATTAAGTTATGGAATTTATTTAATTTTTGTATTTGCAAATTTTGGAATCATTGTGTTATTGAATTTCAAAGCTCTAAAATTTCAAGATCATCAAATTTATAAAAAATTCAAATTTCCCACATTCACAAATTTCTAAATTTCTAAATTTCTAAATTTCTAAATTTCTAAATTTCTAAATTTCTAAATTTCCAAATTTCTGAATTTCCAAATTTCTAAACTTCTAAATTTTTAATTTTCTAAATACCTAAATTAAATTCTCAAGTTTCTCAAATTTCTAAATTTCTAAATACCTAAATTATTTTCCCAAATTTCTAAATCTCCAAATACCCATATCCATAAATTCCCCATTTCCCAAATTTCCAAGCCCCCAATTCTCAAACACCCCTACCCCAAAATTAAAAAATTCTCAACTCCAAAAATTCTCAAACTTAAAACTTGAAAAATAATTTCGTCAGAGATCATTTCGAACATGGCGATGCTCGCACGACGGCCCACAAGGATAGTAGGAGGGAAGGATGCGGAGAAAGGACAGCATCCCTGGCAAGTTTCCGTGCACTGGGGCGATCGAGAACGAAAAATACCACCCAGACACATCTGTGGTGGCAGTGTGATAACAGCTGGTTGGATACTGACAGCTGGTCACTGCAAAACACTGACTCCATCCTCAGGAGAGTTCTTGATCCTCGCTGGCAAATACAAACTGGGAGTTCTTGAGGAGACTGAACAGAGCAGATTGGTTGTCGATGTTTTTGTTCATCCGCAATACGATGGGTAAATTTCATGATTTTAGTCATTTTTTATTTTTAAAGGGTAAATTGCATGATTTTAATCACTTCAGATTTTAATAGATAAACTGCATTATTTTAATCGCATTTTTTCTTTAGAATATACAAAACTTTAATGATATACTGACACAACATGTGTGTAACAATTGATGAACATATGTGGTTGCTTTAATAATTTATCACTCAAAGAAAAATATTAAGTATGTCTTAAACTTAAATGTTGTTTTTTTTCGTATGTTTTGTGTGTATGTTTGCACATGTAGAATTATTTATTGAATTTACAGAAATTTTTTTTAACTCAATTCTTCAAAAATATAGCCCTGGCGACATTTGATGTAGGTCATTAAAGTGTTAGTAAGTGAAATGATTTTGTATGGTGTATTTCAGAACCGTTGCACCGTACGATATCGCTCTGATGCAAGTGGAAACGCCATTCGATTTAAACACGTTCGTATCTACAGTGGCTCTACCGTATCCTGAGTCGATTCCAACGGGAGATGCTATGCTCACTGGATGGGGTAGTATCGGAAGAACGCGGGCTCCGGAGAAACCAGAAAATCTACAGGCAGCTATATTACCGATAATCGATTATGATTTGTGTAAGACCACGCTGGATAAGACGTTGAACTCGAAGGTGAAGAATCCGCTTCATCCGACGAATGTTTGCACTGGGCCTTTGAATGGAAGTCTGTCAGCTTGCAAGGTACAGATATATCTTGTAAAATATACAGATAATTTTTTGAAATTTATTTATTAAAATAGCAAGGTTTATTTTTTTAAATATTAAAATAGCAAGGTTTATTTTTTAAAATATTAAAATAGCAAGGTTTACTTATTAAAATATTAAAATAGTAGGTGGTTGAGTTGGTAATTTAGGTAGTTGATATGTAGTTAATTTTAATGCAATTCTGATATAAGTTTAAGTAAATATCACAATTGGAAAATGACATATTTTGTGTGAGACGATGTATTATTTCGAAAGAATGGAAATGGTTCTGTGATTGAAAATTGTATCGTGTAGAATTGCTTATAAAGGCATTAAGCATCTGTCATTGAGAATTCCAGAGATTTATAAAGTAAATTATTTATTAATATAATGTGTCAAAAAATTTTGAGAATTTTAAAATATAGAAATGTAGAAATGGTAAATTTAATCATTTTCGAGCTATCAAATTAAATTTAGAAATTTTCAAGTTTAGAAAATTGCAAGTTTAAGAAATTTGGAATTTTTAAATTTATACCCTCAGAAAATTCGAAGCTCAGAAGTATAAAAATGTCGATAAATCCAGAAATTCAGAAACCATCAAATTCAATAACACAAAAGTTATAATTCCATAATATAATCCAACCTTCAAATTTTAAAATTAATAACTCCCAACTGAGATATTTCTTTGTGTTTACAGGGAGACTCCGGAGGACCACTAGTGACAAAAAACGCATTCGGCGAAGCGGAAGTGGTAGGAATAGTGTCCTGGGGCCTATTTCCCTGCGGTGGAAAGAACGCGCCTTCAGTGTACACCAGAGTATCCGCTTTCGTCACATGGATCGCCGTGATCATGTTAAACCATTCTTAATCCACTGTGCCAAAGAAATTATTAATCGTTTAATTTGTTGAATAAATAGTATTTGAACTGTTTTCTACCCATTTGTATCTCCAGTTAATACTACTTACGAGAAACGCACACGCTTATCTGATATTTGCTAAACGTTTCACTTTTAAAATGAGTAATTAAACACGATAAATTTGATCGAAATATAGGTAATTTTTCGTAGGAAGTATTGACAAAGCAGTAAGGATTATTCACTTGTTTTGTCGCACGTGTGGAAACGAAGATATGATGCTATCGATCGAAATGAATCAATATCGATACGTTACTGGGAATTAGCAAACTTCCGGAATAGAACTGTATCAGTGACATATTCTGAAAATATATTCGTAAAAGTGAAAACAATGTAGTTGGAGAATTTATAAAGATTGAAACAATAGAAATAGTGTTTTGTTATTATTTGTTAGACTCGTAAAAAATGCAAGATAGTTGTCAGAAAATATTATTATTATTAATGATTAGACAATTTAACAAAAGAGAAATAATTCCATTATTGCATTGAGTCAACTTTTAATTCTTCGAAGCTGCCCTACATGCGAAAGATAAATGCGATGAAAACAGGATTATCGTCGCATATATCGTAATTGCTACATATATTGCACCAATATAGATAAACGAAATTGTGAACGATAATAATATGAGGTGAAAATCTCTATATAAGTACTAATAACGTGCAACCACTACCAGTCATCAAAATGTCGTCGCTGATTATCCTCTTCGCCATTGTTGCAGTAGCTTCCGCTTGTAAGTCAATTTTTTTCAACAAATTATTGATAAATTAAATTTAGTGAACAATTTATATTATCAGATAGTTATAACCATTCCATATTTTTAGTGAACTTTTCACTTAACACTTTAAAATTGAATGTTTAAATTAATATAACATTAGTGCAGGTTTTGTTTGAATATCTCTTCATTTCATTTCTTTAGTCATTTCGATATTATATTATCAAATAAATATACTTACAACTATTCCACATTTTTATTGAACTTTTGACATAAAACTTTAAAATTGAATATTTAAACTAATACAATATTAATGCAATTTTTGCTGAAATATTTCTTCATTTCATTTCTTTAGTCACTTTGACAATTTTGTAAAATTACATGCTATTTGAGAAAGTAAAATAACAGATACAACGTACACTTGAATCGATAGGCAAAATATTTTAAATGTCAATTCCGTATCACATTAATTTTGTATAAACAGCAGTAATTCTGCAAAAAATATTCCTAGGATGTAGAACAATTGTGTAAACGAGAAGTAGATAATGCTATCAAAATTTTGCGAAGTTTTTAATTCATTCATGTGAGAGAAAATCGCTTTGAAAGGATTATTAGAATAACGAGATTGAAACATATGCTTGTTCGGTGTAGATAAAAAAAGTTAATAACGATAACCTGTGAATATTATTATTCGGTGGAAAAATAGTATATAAGCACCCGCAACGTCGAAGTTCGTTGAGTTACCAAAATGTCTTCCGAACTGTTCTTCCTTGCCGTTGTTGCCGCAGCTTCAGCTAGTAAGTCAATTTAACTCATTGATTCAGAAATAACCGCAGTGAAGACAGAATCTGACACAAAATAATTATATTTTGTAACTATTTTATTTTCTAATGGAAATTTTCTTTAATTACTTCGACATTGTGTGTGGTATATTCACGCAACTCGCCGTCATAATCTTTTCAAACCTTGCTTGTAACAATATTTGATAAATATAAAATAATAATAGTTCCAAAAGTTGTCCTTTGTTATAAGTAAAATATTTTTCTATTTCATAAAAAGCGAATCCCTACGTTGGCTACCCGGTGCCATTTTACCCCAACTACACCAACGGACCAATAGAGGCTACCAGGAACCAATTTCCCTATCAAGTCTCACTGCAATGGGGCATAAACAAACTAACTCATTTCTGCAGTGGTGCTATTTTGAGTGCCTCATGGGTTCTCACATCGGCCCACTGTGCTTCAGTCGTTCCGCCGTACGGTGATTTTGTGGTGAAGACCGGAAAACTCGATTTGACTGTAACGGAAAACGCGGAACAAACAGCCACTGTGAAACAAGTCATCATACATGAGAACTACACCGGGTAATCACACTTCTTTTCAAACGACTCAACAGTTTTTATTTTAGAGCTGTCTTTCAATTTGAAAGCATTCACTCAAATGGCAAAATCAAATTTAAGGACATCACTATTCACTCAAATGTCAAAATCAAATTTGAAGACATCACTATTCACTCAAATGTCAAAATCAAATTTGATAGCATCACTATCAAAGCAAATTTTCTGCTAGAGCGCAGTCTATTTCCATGTGACACAATTTTACGCTTGTTGTCATGCTTGACGCGTCCATTTGATATTTGCAGGGACTCAGGTTTACACGATGTCGCACTGCTAAAACTGTCTAAGCCCATTCTTCTGAATGGTACAGCAAAAGCGATCGCCCTATCAACCACGAGCTCGCCTAGCGGATCTGGTCGGATGTTAAGCTGGGGATCAAATTGGAGAATGTACACACCACGCATGCCGGATAAACTACAAGCAAGCAATCTGAATACGCTTGTTTTGTCTACCTGCCAAAATCTTTTGAACAATATAACAAGTACCACTCCGAGGCTTAGCGGGTATCAGTTCTGCACTGGGTCTTTGCCTGGTGGTTTCTCAGCGTGCGATGTGAGTAATTTAATTTTGGAATTAATAGTGGACATTATTTGTATATGAGGATATTATCGTTAGAATATGAGGATATCATAGAATATGAGAATATCATAGATCATTTTTACGATTCTATGTAATCATTCAGTTAAGGTTTAGTTTTGCATACGAGGATTTCACGAAATGAAAAGTTAGGTTAGCGAACATAGAGGCAATAAAAATTGTTCAACATTCATCTTGTCTTCGTGAAATCCTAAAAACGATGGTCATCCAAACTAAAAATTATTATTATTTCAGAGTGAACCCGGTGCTCCCTTCATCCAATATTACGGATCTAACGGACCATACCTAATGGGAGTCTCATCATGGGGCGTCGTGCCATGCGCCATATCCAACGCACCAATAATCTTCACGCACTTATATTACTACAAATCTTGGATTACATCTCAACAAGCTGCAAACTGAACCATTCGATAGACAATGAAGGAATTATACGTTAATTATTGTTAACAGTTTATTGTGTTCAATAAATAGTGCTCGCTCTTATCTAGTAATTACAATACTCCAGTTCCTTTCGCAAGATACAAGAATTAATATTTATACAATTATAATCAGTTACAATGTTTTGCAAGCCTCCGTAACGGTCATCACAGCCGCCAACGCTTCTTTAGCTGTTGGGACAATATAACGAGCCGGTAGAACGAAACCATACTTTCCAGTGTCTCTCAGTTCGATCGTGTAAGCGTATTTCATCTTGAGAATAGCTTTGGCCCAATCGTCGGAGCCACCGGAAGCTGCGTACAGGGTGGTAGCACTGTTTCCGACAGTGTAGGCGCTGTTGGCACCGCCTGCTTTTTTCATTGCTGCGGCTACTTGTCTTCCGACTCTTTCGAGATCCGCGTAATCTGGGGGCACGCGTTTGTCGTAACCCCATGGGTATAGGATGTACTGACCGTAACTGTGGAATGTCAGGTACGCCTGGAAAGTAAGGAACTGGTTAAAGTAACAAGTTTGGTGATAATTTGACAGAGTTACTTTCGGTATTTCTAAATTTTCAAGTTACATTTGGAGTTTATAAGTTGTAAATTGATTACATGTATCTGAATTCTTAAATACTTGAATTTGGGAGCCCTTAAGTGCTTAATTTTCTACATACTTAATTCTTGCATGTATATGTAGATCCTCAAATTTACTAGTTAATAAAACTTGAATTTTTTAATCTCTAAATGTTCATGTTAGCAGAACCTTATGACACTAGAATCCACATCATCATGTACCTAAATTCCATGTTACCATTTTTCTGAGTCCCTATATCATCATATACCTAACTCCCTATATCACCATATTTCTAAATCTCACATCACCATATCACTGAATCCAACATCACCATATTTCTAGATCTCACATCACCATATCCCTAAGCCCTAAATTCCACATCACCAAATCTCTCAATCCAACATCACCATATTTCTAAATCTCAAATCACCATATCCCTGAATCTCACATCACTATATTCCAGAATCCCAATATCACCATATCCCCAAATCCTACATCACCATATCCCTAAACCCTAAATCCCACATCACCAAATCCCTCAATCCAACATCACCATATCCCTAAGCCCTAAATCCCACATCACCATATCCCTGAATCTCACATCACCATATTCCAGAATCCCAATATCACCATATCCCCAAATCCTACATCACCATATCCCTAAACCCTGAATCCCACATCACCACATCCCTAAATCCCTATATCACCATATCTTTAAATACCAAAATCCTCAACCCATTCTCCAAATCCTAAAATCCCAAACTAAAATACTAACCTTGAAGTTAGCAGCGCTAGCCTCGAAGAAGTTCCGTATAGCATTAGTTTCCGGTTCAGAGAACGGTCCAGAGCCAGCATAAATATCGCGGCAAGGGTCCTTGCTAGTTCCCAGACCACCCCAGCGATACCCAAAGTTTCTGTTCAGATCAACCCCGTTGCACATGCTACCTGCAGCACGTTTCCTGTTCTTTCGCCACAAACGATCTCTGGTGAAGGTGTATTCGTACCTGTGGACCAAACAATGTAAAGTATAAGAGTCAGTTCAATATCCATGAAATTACTGACGTACCCATCGGGATTTGCCACGGGTAGAATGTAGTAGTCAGCCTCAAGATCTTCGCTGTTTTCAACTAAATGATTGATGACGTAAGTGACAGCGGCTGGAGAGATCCATTCACGAGCGTGGATTCCACCGTCGATCCATAAGGCGGGTGCATTAGGTTTCCCGTTGCTGATTCTCAAAACCTAAATTATAATTTACCTCACTTTTCTGTAGAATATGTAACTATGATTTCTTTCGATTGAAAGTTAGAGCAAGATAAAATACCTTGAGAGCTCGTCCTTCGACAGAGTTTCCGATGCTAACAACGGAACAAACGTCCGGAAAAGTCTCTGCCAAATAATCGAGATAACCATGGATGTCTTCAAGACGATGGTAAGTGGTCCACTCCATTCGATGACCTGACAGGTATACCTTCAAGATTATTCAATGGTTGCACGTTCGATGTCCTTAAACGATACGTGAGAACATTCCGCTCCGTGGATTCAGAGACATTCAACTGTTATCGGACTCGAGATGAAAATTAAGATTCTGAACAGTTTGAAAATGTGAGTCTGAATCGACGAAGCGGATTATGCGCGCTGGAAGCTCACCCCTAAAGTGCCATTGGCCACCTCCACCGTGTACACTAGCTACGGGATAACGAACAGGACGAGGAGGATATCTACCTCGTACCGCGACTCCCTGCCACCAAGCGTAACGAGCTAGAAAATTACTTTCAAGCTTAATATTGATAGGTATTGGTTAGTTCTTAGCCAGCGTAGAATTCAATATATGTTTTATTCGAGTAAATGTATGTATTATTTTTTCGTAGTGGTCGTCAAGTTATGATGCGTACGTTATTGTAATATTGATGAGTACGGTATTGTCACGGTAGTATCATGTGTTGTATTATAACGCATTACAGTTTGAATTACGACACTATGTTGCGTTTGTCACGTGGTATACCAAGCACTGTATTGTCACGTGTAGAATTACCGCGCGTAGTAGTACCACGTATCGAATTACCACGCGTAGTACTACCACGTGTTGAATTACCACGCGTAGTAGTTCCACGTATCGAGTTACCACGCGAAGTACTACCACGTATCGAATTACCACGCGTAGTACTACCACGTATCGAATTACCACGCGTAGTAGTACCACGTATCGAATTACCACGTGTAGTACTACCACGTATCGAATTACCACGCGTAGTAGTACCACGTGTCGAATTACTATGCGTCGAATTACCACGCGTCGAAATTCCATGCGACGAATTACTACGCGTCGAATTACCACGCGTTGTACTACCACGTGTTGAATTATTATGCGTCGAATTACCACGCGTCAAAATACCACGCGTCGAATTACCACGCGTGGAATTACTACGCGTCGAGTTACCACGCGTTGAATTACCACGCG